GTCTTCATATTTGATCTCCTTCTTCTATGCTTTCTTCTCTTTACTTACTATTTTTCTAGCAAAACATCCTTGCGCATCACTTGCTCGAGACATTGCATTAAAAGGCTTTTTGAAAAACTTCTTTACCCGATTGTTTGAGTGTAAAGTTACAGCTTCGTCGTCAGAGTTGACGATCAGGCCTTCATCTTCCAAGTTCTCATTCTCAACTATTTCTTTTTCAACTTCTCATCCAACAACTTTCGAAACAAGAGCAAGTGGACCACCAAGACTGATCTTTGATTCCTCAGCAATTTCAGTCACTTCAGATTCACGTACTTTTAACACATCGTAAAGATCATTTTGTAACACCCATAAAATTTAAGCCAAATTAAAAAATTTTAATTCATTCAAAAACCATTAAGTTCATACATCTTGTTTTCAAAGTAGTTTAAACATCAGAGTATCCCCCAGAACCATATCATATAAGTCATAAAACACGAGGAGCGGTACAATTATGCCTTCGCCTCACCACGATCTCCTGAAGTACCTGAAACAAAACACTGAACTGTAAGCCCGAAAGCTTAGTGAGTTACCACCAAAATACCAACCACACATAAACATACTCATAGCATATCACAAATTTAACAGCCATGCACATCGGGTCTACTGTGTGACTGGTCCGCCCGCCCCAGGCCTTCAGTCCACCTAGTCCACCCTCCGAGTCTATCCATGTACATCGAGTCTATAGTGTGATTGGTCCGCCTGCAATGGGCCTTCAATCCACCTGGTCCACTCTCTGAGTCTACAGTATAATTGGTCCGCCCGCACCGGGCCTTTAGTCGGCCTGGTCCACTCTCCGAGCCTCGACACATCTGGTCCGCCCTCTTGGGGCCTTCAGCCTAATCCGGACCGCTCGCTGGGCCTTCGGAATATCCGGTCCACCCTGGGTATGTTGTCCTACAACACAAAGTAGGGCCCGCCTCAACCCAACCCCCGTTAAACAACCATGTGCACATAAAACAATTAATCACATAACAAATACTTAACCAGACAAACAGTCTAACAGATCATATAGCATATCAACATCCTAACGAGGATTCTGACCTAACCGGTCACTAGCATGACATTATCCTATATACCAGGTACTGACCTTAACCAGGTCACTAACATAACATTATCCTAAATACCAGGATGCAGATCTAGCAAAGCAATAACATAACAAACAATACCTAGATTTCCATCCGATAAAGGGCCGGCCTTGGTGCCGTAGACCCTGTCGATATAGTGAGGATAAGACCACACTGCTCCGACCACCGACATCAACTTCACCACAGAACACTACCAAAGAAACAATTCCATAAATACCAAAATTACTAAAATACCCTTGGAAGTCAAACTGGTCAACTCTTGGTCAAAGTCAAAGTCCTCAGTCAAAGTCAACCTCCCTGGTTGATTCTACTCGCTGAGTCAACCCGTAGGCTCGTCGAGTTCCTATACTCAGAAACTCCCATAACACGACTCAACTCACCGAGTCGCCCAAAGACTCGTCGAGTCCAACGATCTCGGAATTCCATCTTGTCCAACTCACTGAGTCGCCAACCGACTCACTAATCCAAAGCTTTAACCAAAAGAGGTTGGGTTCTGTGACCAGACTCGCCGAGTCCAAGGCAATCTTCAACTGACTCGCCGAGTTGTTCTTCCAACTTGCCGATTCCATGTTTATGTTCATACAACTCATCGAGTACACCCATGTGACTCGCCGAGTCTCTCTAGCTCTCAATCCAATCAAAGGCTTTTCGAGCCATGCAGGGGCTCCAAACCATAGATCCACTATTCTACTATCTAACCCTCACATAAAGTTGCAAACTTTACGTGAAACCAAGGAGATATAGGCCCAAAACACACTATGGCTAGGTTTAAGGACTAAGGGGCTTCACCAACAACTCTTAAACAGAAACTTTATGACATTATGGACCATCACAAGCCTAGATCTAGAGTAGCAACCTCAGATCTAAACTCCAAACCCGAAATAGATCTCAAACAAGCTAAGGAACTCCCAAAACAACCACCAAGGATGAACCAAAAAGGAAATAACTTATGATAATGGCTCCTTACCTCTGGGATGTGCCCAAACTGATGTAGATCCCAGATCTATACAAGCCTCTTGATGCTAGCTTCTAATTTCTCAAGCTCCTTCCACCAAATTCCTCTTCCAAGCTCCAATCTCCTCAACAGTGAAGTCTCACACGAAATTAGGGTTTTCTGGAACTCTCTGGGGGAATAGGAGGCTGGGAGAATGACATAAAGTCCTTTAAATAGGGTGCAAACCCCAAGATTAGTGTTTTCTCATTCCAGCACCAACTCTTTGAGTCCGACTTCCGACTCGGCGAGTTGGTCACTTAATTCGTGACCCAAACCCGCTCCGACTTGGCGAGTAAGCGTACCTACTTGTTGAGTCCCTTCTTCGAAATTACACTTTAAACCCTTAAATCATACGTCTGAAAATCGCGATGTTACACATTTAATGAGAAATAATCAAAAATTTACCGTGTCTTTATCATAAGGCTGGCATTTCTCCATTCTTTTCGAATACTGATGATAAAAGTGAGATCGAACCCCATTATTGACCTTATTACACCATATCTGTTACACTTGAATATGAGCTCATTCAGACGATCATGAAAAGACTCAATTGATTCTTCTTCCTTCTACTTAAACTCTCCTAACTCCAACAGACATTATTTGACTGAACATATCTTTGTTTCCTCGCTTCCTTGATATTTCTTCTTCAGTGTATCCCCAATCTCCTTTGAAGTTTTACAACTCTGCACATAATTGTATACGATTGGTGGAAGGGCACCATGAAGTTCTCGCATACATTTCTTTTCATTTTCCAACAACTTCTCAGCCTATTCTATAGCATTTAGATTATTAGAAGAAGTTCCAATACTTTTTACAACAACAGGAGGACGAACATCACCGATTATGCATTTCCAGAGCTCCTCATCAATTCCATTCAAATAGTCCTCTATACGATCAAACCATTGATCATAAAACTCAGGAATTAGCATTGAAAACTTAGTTGAAGAACCAAGAAGATGAGAGTAAGATGTTATGGTGTTCATGTTAAAATTCGCCATTGTTGTACAGAAGGTTTTTGAGGAAAGCTTCAAAAATTGAGATCTAAAAATAAAAACTATCATAAATTGACAATGAATACTCGATTTGAACAATAAAAGACAGAATCGAATCAAAACAGATGATCTATAAAGATATTCAGATTCAAAAGAGCGGAAAATTTTGAATCTGGAACGAGACTCAAAAACTTTTGAAATCTAAAGAAAATCATATCAAAAACTATAGCATTCATACTCTGATACCAAATGTAGTTGTGATTTAATAGAGTATGAAATACGAGATCAGAGTTATGTAAGAATTATGAACACAAGATCTAAATAAAGTATGTTTGGCTCGATTAAACATTCTGGAGTACAGAGAATATTCAAAGAATACAATGTGAATGATGAAGCTACTCTCTAACTCTAGTACTCCTCCCATATATATAGGGATTACGAAAACATACAAAAAATATAACGAACTAAGACACTTACGTTTCGAAACATAATGCCCTTATACTAAACAATGTACGAACAAGCTTCGACACTAAAACAGACTAAGGCACATTTCAACACCTCACAATACTTTCGAACTCAACAGTCGAGCTATAATCACAAATACATCCAGGTTATTTGAGTTTGCTAGGAGGGTGGCATGATGTTTAACTTCCCTAGGAACGAGTGCATAACATTCCTCGAATTTTGGAATCGAATCCTTGCTAACTATTTCATATGTAAGTTTTTCGAATTATTATCTAAACCAGTGACAAAAATATGGAGTCTTAACCAGTCAATTGCCCTATGATAAGTTGTAACATCATCAAGGTCTATCATGACCGGCTTATCACCATGGTCTAACTCAAGAAAACTTGCGCTCAGTTTTCCATAATATCCAAAAAGTAGTTTACCGTTTTGTTTGGATGTAATTAAATGCTTTCTGGCTCGACGTAAAAACTTGCAATGGTCGCTTCATTCATAGAAGACTTTTGACATTATACTCCATATTTCATATATTCAGATGGTATACGTAAGCCCCTTTTCATGATATATGTAGTCATTGACATGAGTAGCTACTTTTTCAACTTATGGTTGTCGGCGTACCATTTTTCATATCCTTCCGCAGTTATTTTGGTAGGATGTGTTCTTCCTCATGTATAAGAAATCTTCTCTCATTTGTTAGGTGCATCTCCATCACAGTTTGATTCGATGAGAATGGTTCTTGCTTTAACGCACTTTCTGAATGCATGAGAACAAGTATGTTTTTCCATGTTGATGTTGTAGATCAAGATTTTTCATCGGTCATCGTTGCATATTTGGAGAGGCAGTAGGAAATGGGCAGGGTGGTGGCTTGAAATGTATAAGATTTTACTGGATTTATAGTTTTTAGAGTGTAAACCTGGTGTGAGACCATCTTTAGAGCTTATTTTCATATATTAATCCAAAGAAAAAAAAATACAATAGAATTGATAAACCAATTCTTGGGAATAAGGAAATCAAATCCCTAATATGTCTCTCATATAGATTTCAATCTACGCAAGTCTTTTATTTAAAAAACGAATCTCTACATGGGTAACTCAACCCTGACATACCATATTTAAAAATTTCAGTTATCGGAATTTTTTATTATGTATATCAGATATCAGATTAGTGTTTCGGCATAATAAACCGGTCAACGGGAACAAAATACATAGGTTTTAATCCTTATTATTTTATCTGCAGGAAAAGATTCTAATTTGACACAACTTGGTCTAAGTAGGTATCTAATCTAAAGAAATGATACAAAAAAGTGGAGTGCATTGCACACAATTAAAAAAGTAATCCTGAGAAAAAAGTCCAATAATTTTTCTTTTCCCGTATATATTCAAATTCATCACGTATGCTATATTCACACCTTCTAGCTCAATCATGGCCGGAGAAAACCCACCAATGATAGCACTCAATTCCGACGGTTCTTACACTCGCAATATATCCTTCCCATCATCCCATCCCACACCAGATAAAGATTCCGACACTCCAGTGCTCAGCAAAGATGTAATCATCAACTACATTAACAAAACCAGTGTTCGAATTCACATCCCGAAAGAAACTGTAATCTCCATGGAAACTCCTTTAAAAAAGCTCCCTCTCATCGTTTACTTTCACGGTGGAGGCTTTGTTCTCATGAGTGCAGCTTCAACCATCGTACATGATTTCTGTGACCGTCTGGCGGCCGACCTCCCTGCTGTGGTGGTGTCGGTTGACTACCGCCTAGCTCCAGAAAACCGCCTCCCAGCAGCCTACGACGATGCTTTGGAGGTTTTGCTTTGGATCAAATCAGCCCAAGATCCATGGTTGACCAATTACGCTGACGTGTCGAATTGTTACATGATGGGCACCAGTGCTGGCGCAAACATAGCATACCATGCAGGTGTACGTGTATCACACCGACTTCACGAGCTTGAATCATTGAAAATCAAAGGATTGATCTTGCACCATGTGTACTTCGGAGGGGAGGAGCGGACGCTGTCGGAGATACAGCTGGCGGAAGCCGGGCAGTTGACTCTAGCAACTTGTGATTTCATGTGGGGTTTGTCGCTGCCGGTTGATGCAAGCCGTGAGCATGAGTATTGCAACCCGATGGCGGGTGGTGGTATGGATGATATAAGTCGGATCAAGGAGGTGGGTTGGAGGGTGATGGTGATAGGTTGTTCTGGTGATTTGTTAATTGATCGACAAAGGGAGTTTGCGAAGACTTTAGAGTTGAAGGGTGTGGAGAATAAGTGTTTGTTTGAAGAAGGTGGTGACCATGGGATTGAATGCTTTGACAAATCGAAAGCCAAAGATTTGTTTAAGTGGATTTCAAGTTTCATGTCAACTAATGAGACCTAGTGAGTTCTTGCTAGAAGATGAAAAATGAGGTGATTAGAAATAAATCTATGCAAGTTGTTTCGGTTCCTAAAATTAAGTGTAATTGGTAAATATGTTATATTACGATGTACTTATTGATTCAAGCGTAAGACACATCTTTTAAAAATAAAATCAATTTAGCCTTGGGATATGCCCTTTTTGACAATTTAGAGTGCATCTCACTGTTCTCACATCAAATTTAAGTTTATGTTTGATTTTAAATTCTTGTGGACTTTAGCACTAATCATGGATTACTTGTTTCTTTAATTATTTGAACCATTATATAGCCATAAATTATGATTTCTACAAGACTTAGGAACTCCGCATTTCCGCATTTCATCCCGATTTTCTTTTTTGTGCAGTTGATGTTGCATCGGGCTCAACAATGGGTAATTCTAAATCCACGAATTGAATTCCAAATGCACGAAGACACGTTTGATTTGATATACATCACTTAACAAATTTGACTATTTTTAATAATATTAAATTGAATTTGTATGGACGGTTGAAATTAAAGAAGATGTAAGTTTTCAAGTTAATACCTTATACTTGTATTTATTTTAAAATCAAACCTTACACTTTTTAAAACTTATATATATATATATATATATATATATATATATATATATATATATATATATATATATATATATATATATATATATATATATATATATATATATATTATAGACTGTGATTAGTTTCTACATTGTACTTCAAAATATTTAATCTTTTTTTTAGAAACATCAGAATCGCACATATATAAGTTTGCTAAATTTAAAAAAAAAAAACAATTTTTTTTTTTAATTTATAGAGATCTTAATAATTATAAACAACAAAACATAAATTTGATTTTATTAATTATCAGATATTATAACTGTAGAATTGTTACAATTATTGTGTGTTGCAAATGGAGAAATGTAGGAATTCAGGCCAGCAGCATAAACAATTTCTCATCCAGCAGACCGTGATGATCTGTTGTGATGCCAAAGTAGTAAAATAGTAGGCATTAGATATACTCCATGTAAATCAACCTTCACATAATGATCACCTCTAACAAGAGCAATAACAACAACTCTATGAGTTGAGATGTTGTGGGGACCAAGCCATAGTGGAAAACATGTTGATGGACTATCTTTGCTTAGAAAAATAACTATTACATTATACTTGTTAGCAATGAGAAAGCTAATGACCGGCATAATCAACCAACGATCTTTTGGTGCGAAATGTGATCCATTGAAATTCAATGAGTGATGTATGGTGTTTAAATCGTAATAAAAAATCTGTGCGTACTCAGCTGGGTGTACTAATAACTCATTCTGTAAATCTAAGCGGATTTGACGCCAATTATCTTCACCATAACCGAGACACGCAGCTATTGCACGAAATCCACAATTTCCATCTCCCCTGACGTTTTGTATGTTTGTGACATATGGATGAAATTCATACGGAATTTCATTCATAAGTGGATCTGAATTATACATTACTTGTTCTTGGTTGAAGTACGAGCTATGCATCGATTGTTCCTGATTAAAAGTTGAGTTGAACATTGGAGGTTCTCGGAACGAGTACGTACTGTGCCTATCCGGTTCCTAGTTTAGATAAAAAAAATTAGACCGCATATAATTAGGCGTATAAGTAGAAATACTACGTCGAGACGGATATTGAGTTGGTGACGCTTGATTCGGTTGATCTTGAGGTGGTGGATCTTGAGTTGGTGGGTCCTAGTTTAAATCGATATGGGTTTTCTTGAAAAGTTTCTTCTTTAAGGAGGGGCGCCCACGAGTATTTTTATGAGTAGCAGGTTCAGAAACTGAAGTTGTTGACGGCGTGATATCATTTAATAATAATAATCATATAATAATAATAATAATAATAATAATAATAATAATAATAATAATAATAACTAGAGGTGTGCCGTCACTTCGCTACGGGTCAGGGAAAGTTGGGCAATGTAAATTGTCAGCAAATTGAACCTCAGATTTGAGGGAAAATAAAGTATGTTGCCCGTATTGTTAAAAAGAGTAAAAGTACATCGTTATTTACTGTATTTCGGCTTTTCAATTAAGAATAATGCCCTTATAAGAAAATATCATCCTATTCTTGAAAGATAAAGAGAAAAAAACCCCACCAAATGAAAATCAATCTAGAAAAAAGAATCACATTAAGAAATGTTTCATTTTCTCAAGGATACACATTAGGCTATAGATAACAACCTACTTTTTAGCAATGTCAAAAACAGATTTGTTTGCAGATAAAAGTAGCATATCAAACTTTACATCAACTAAAACCACAATCACTTTTAAAAAAATTAAAAGAATTTCCCATATTAAGAATATCTTCCCATATTAAGAAAAATACCCAATTAATCTTGGTAATAAATAGAATCAAAAATATATCGAACAAAAGAGAATTACAAAGAACCAAAAACATTCTAGAAAGGCTTACACAAGATGAGCTTCAAAAATTCCTAACCTTGGAAGCACATTCTTGAAAAAAAAAAGTATCAAATCTTTTTTGTGTGTCTCTTCAATTAAAATGAGGGGTATAAAAGTCAAAAACATCTTTTTTCATATGGATGAATAAAAAACATAGCTGGAAATATGAAATATCTCATCCTTACTTAAAAAAGGTAAGAGAGTGATTTGCTTTTGATTTCTTGTTTGTGCAAACGGCGAAAATGCCCGTCTAGTCATAGAAAATAATATATAAATTAAAGAAACATGCACAAATTCTGGAATAAGAACGTGAAATTTTGGATCATTGGTTGCGTAGTCGTAGAAGTTATGTAGTATGGAGTCATAAATAGGAGGTAATACATCTGCAAATGAAAAAAAAAAGATTAAATAATGAAAAATTAAAAGTAATTAACCAATCTAACATGTATTGTATGTAAAGAAATTGAAAGCATTGCCCTTACGTCTCATGCATATTGGAATTTACATATTTGCTCCCCTACCTTTGGCCTTTTATCATAAAAAAATTAATAATCCATATCCAAACACTGCAGCAAAACCTTCTTGCATTAATAGGTTAAACAAATTGGTATTACTTTTGCAGATTGTAACATGTAAAAAAATTTGCAGCTCAATCACAAGTCTCATAATACAATAGATAATATTTCCTTGATTTTTGAAAAAAATATAATCATAGATTGTACTTTTTTTGGTTTAAACCATAATGATAAATTTAAAAAAAAAAAGTAAAAAAAAAAAGTAAAAGACATGATTACCTTGATTGTCAAATGTTTTGGGTACTACAATAAAAGCATAATACATGTTTCTTTAGTTTGAGGAATATCCAATCCCAAATAGCTTATTATTTTTTTTTGACTAAAACACCAAAATACCATTCTCATGCCTATTGAATGTAATAATGTTGAGATATATTAAATGTCCTCCACTTAACCGACACACTACCATTAACTTCATTCTAATAGAATCAATGATTCCATTACATACCTTGAGTTTCTTCTTGGCTTCCTTTTCAATAAAAAAAAAAACTTGTTGGATGTAAGGTAAAATTAGTACTAAATTCCAAACAACCATGGTGAGTCAAAGTAACATGATGAAGAGTACTTGGGTCAGGTATTGTAGCTAAGGAGCAATAATTTTAATATATATAATAATAATAATAATAATAATAATAATAAGAAAGGTTAAGTACACCTATCCATAATATGTATCACCTATCCATTCTTCCCAACTTGTCATTTAATAAAATCTATATTTATAACAAATATCATATGTTTGCTTTTAAGGAAAGTTACTTTCAGCAAATCGCTTTCAGTTTACCATATAAGAAATACCAATCCTTTATATATAGAAAGAAATTGTAACCAAATTTTCATTTTTATCCCTTCTATTTTTGTTAATGTTTCTTAGTTTGTATTTCTTATTTAACAAATTAATTTTTTTCTAATAATATTTAATAATATTCATTATTATTCTTCTTGTAAATGTATTCATGAGATCATTTTAATTAAACAACTTTTATGAATAAGTATTATGTTTGTATTTGTTAGTTTTCAAAATTAATAAAGTTTTAAGGGTTTAAGATTTAAATTGATAAAATCTAGGGTCTTTTCTAAAACTACAATGTAAACGGAAGGAATAAAATTGTAATATTATATTTTATCGATAAAATCATGGTTGTCAAAATCGCGATCCTGATCGTAGGATCGTACGATCTTACGATCCTAGGTATGAAAAATGATCCGGATCGTAAAATGATCGAATTTGGGGTAGGATCGCAGGTAAAATCGTAAGATCGTAGGTAGGATCGTAGGATCGAGATCCGATCCGATCCTACCATCCATTGATTTTTTATTTTTTTTTGCAAATGAATTTTTTTTTTCCATTTTATGTCTTTTACCCTTTACCAATCTACCATTTATCATTTTTTATTGTGACTTATAATTAATATTTTTAAGTTTTTATAACTTTTGAACGAAAAATTAAATGTTTGAAATATTTTTCATGATTAAATATTATAAATTAAAATTATATTCTATTTTGTGGGATCTTAGGATCTCGATCCCGATCTTGTAAACCCAAAAACGATCCTAGGTAGGATCCCGATCTTGACAACCTTGGATAAAATGATTATTTTATGGGCACACATATTAATACATTTTATCGGCACACATATTATTTTAATAAAGTTATAAATTGGTCGATCAATATAAATTTTGAAAATAATAAAATATATTATTTTCATTAAATATCCTTACATTTATATTTGATTTTCAAATCAAAACTTATATTCCGCCGCTTCGACCGGGGGTATAACAGTTGTATGGCTTAAAAATAATTGACAAATTACTAATACATTATAATAGAACCCTTATCAACATTTGACGATAATAATAGTTCATAAATCAGTTCTTCTGCTTCATTTGTGTACATTGGATGGATATCCATTTCGAATGACGATCTGTCTTCGAAAAAATAGTTACATACTTTCAAGCTATTATTTCATGT